CACACACACACACACACACACACACACACACACACACACACACAGATAGCCGCAGTGGAGACTCTCCTCTCGCTCTGTTTGGTTAACAGGGACAGATCTCCTGGTAGCATGAACATTTTAGCACAAATAACAAGTTAATAATCAACATAGGCCTCACAGCAGCCACGTCTGCTCAACAGGTGACAAATCAGAGGTCATAAGTGCGAATATAAGTTTCAAATTAACATTTTCTACAGGAAATCAGAGGAGTTTAATTTCTGCTCTTGCTTCTCCGGAGCAGACAGAGTTGAATTAGTCGCTAGGAAGGAAAGAAACTAATGAGGATTGAGGAAAGGATGTTAGGAAGGAGAGACAGAAGTGTTTACCCCCCCTCTGTTTCTCATCTTTTTTTTTATTAAACCTTTGTTTCCCCAGATTAGAGGCAGGAGCAGCTGTCCTTCTCCAACCACGGTGCGTCTTAATAAAGACCAGCTTACTGCCGGCCCATTGCTTGCACTCTCTCAGGGTCACACACAGACACACACACTTGCTCACTCATTCCCTCAAACACACATAAATGAGCCCATGAACACACCTCAGTTGTCTATGATAATGAAGCACCTCGGCAGCATCGTTCTCTCCCTAATGAGACTCACCTCCATCACACTCAAACACTTAACACACACACTTAGAGACTCGTATCATAAATGCAGCAATAACAAGAAAGTGTTTGTGTGCTGTTGTTGCTATTATTGAGCAACAGCAGCAGGCGAACAAAGGGAAGCGATGAGGAGCACAAACAGTTGATTTTAGTCGGATATAATTTCTTAAATTTTGACACTTAAAAATGCAGCTGAAAGCTGACTTTTTGGCACCGTGGTTGAGCGCCGGCGGTGACTAAGTGATCCAGGAGAAGTGCAGTTTTTGAAAATTGATTTCTGCTATTAAACACCAACAAAAAAGGTGTTTAATCATGAATATTTCAAAGCAAAGAAACTACGAAGCAAACTCTCAGTGCAGATGAAAGATGAACCCTCACTGTTGTAACACAATTAGGCACCATGATATGCATATTAGTACAATTAGCTGATTAATGCAGCTCTGTTGAATTTGATTTAGTTTAAATGCAATAAGGAGATAATGCAAGTGACAAATGTGGCTGCAAGCATGTGTTAAAGCAAGTGTTATCTGCCAGCAGCGGGTGTGTCTTCTGTTCTGCAGTCACTATTTCTGCTGTCTTATATCTATCAGTCTTTACACACACGTATTTAAACACACACTCATGTTCCTGAGAGCGCAGTAGGTGGATGTTAAAAATCTGTCCGTGCCTCTCACGCTGCACGTCACATATCTGAAGTGCATTTCAGTTATTCCATAATGAGAAACAGCATGCATATTAATTCCATCTGATTACATCCAGCTACCACACACACACACACACACACACACACACATGCACACAAATTGCAAGATGAGGTGTGTTATGCATTCAGTTAGGCAGGCTAGAGAAGAGAGCTCAGGTTTAGATTCTGTTACCATCTGGTTTGCAGATACGGCAGGAAGTTAAAGTGTGTTTTTAGGGAGAAATCGGCGAACTAGAGGTGCAGTTGGCAAGAAGCTGCAAATGTTCAGAGCTAATGTGAAAATGAGACCACATTATCGAGCTTAGACAAAAAAAAATCCCCACCATCATCCCTTTACTGCTTCGTTTTCTCTTCTCGAGCTCTTCGGGGTTCGTTTTCACCACCGTCCATCTTCTAAATCCTTTACTTGTTCCAGCGTACTGTCCTGCGGCTCCAAGTGGCCCCTAGTGAGGGGGCTGGGGGTGTGTGTTGACCTTTGACCTCGATGTGTTGGTTTTAATTAATCCACTTAAAGAGTTCCTCGGCTTGCATTATGTGTCGCTTTATATCCCACCGGACCGGGCGCAGAAGCACAAATCCATCTGCCTAATTACCAAGACCACTGTTTGAATCTTTAAATCCCCTCTGATAGTGTGTGTGAGTGTAGCATGAGCGTGTGTGTGGTGCTTTATCTAGAAGCCAGACCTTTTCTCCATTCAGGATTAAAACTAAACAGGTTAGAGTGAAAACATTTATTTAACACTGGAGCTTCTGACAGTTTTCACTATCTAATGCAGAATTTTCTTTCTTTTCCTCCAAACGGCATCTTAGCTGTTATTTCACTGTTAAAGTCAAACACAGCTAATTTGCTAATGCTTGATTTTGCATCCAAATCCACGATTTGCCTGATAAATCCTTCCAACTGTGGAGGAACTCCTTCCCCCGTCTCCCTTTCCATCTCTCCTTTGCTGTGTTTGCTGGCTTATTAAGTCTTTTGTGCTACTTTTCCCAACAAGCTGAGGACAGTCTCTGTGCTGATTAGCTCCCCGACCGCTGGTGTCTGCAGTTGAATTTGATGTGAATGATGATGCTGCGTTAGTCATCTGACATCTTAACAAGCTATTTTTGAGACTCCCTCGAGGTTTTTTGATGACGCTCAGTTCATAACAAACACCTTAGACGGTGCAGATGAATGCTGTGGTTCACTTTGGTCACCTTCAGAAGCAGAGCGCTGTTGCTTCGAGTGCATCAGAGGTCGATGCTGGAGCTGCTCTGGTTTGAGTGAGAGGAAGAAGGTAGATGTAAGAGGGAGGTGCGGGGCGTGCTGGTTCCAGAGAAAGAACGTGGACTGTGAATTCACCTCAGCCCAGTTTGCTCACGTTTGGATTTGGATAATGAAGTTTAGTCACCTTTTTGAACCAATAGCCACAGTGGGTTTGCAGGATTATTTAAATTAGAGCTGCGGCCTTTTGACACACCCTGACTGGAGCTTGTTTTTAACCACCACATCACTTAAATGATGCGAAACAAGTCGGTTGACAAGTTTAAATGAAATTAATGGCGGCGGGAGGGAGGGCTGAGGTGCTGCGGGGCGGAATCAAAATTCAATCTTCGCTTCCCACAGCTGTCAATCAAGTCTTTGTACCAGCAAAGAACAATATAGTATTCAGCATCCGAGTGACAGAGGCGGACGGAGCGGGCAGAAGGGCTGAATTCCTCTAAAGCCCCTGGAATCAGCAAGAGATAATTACATAGTTGAGGCGAGAGTGCGTCACAAAACAAAAGAGACAGAGGAAAAATGACAGAGGGAAGAGGACTGGAAAAGCTACAGAGGAGCAGGAAAGACTATAGAACAGCAGGAGACAAGGAACAGAGAAGGAAAGGGCGCCATGTAGGCGAGACTCTAAGCAGACTGTTTCAGGCTTGCCATCACTGATTCTTTCAGGGTTATCTGAAGTACATTTACTCAGATACTGCTTAGGTATATTTTTCCCAATTTACTATGATATGAGACAAAGAAAAGCAGGAAATCAGTAACGTTTCATCTCATCAGATGTTTATTATCTTATGTCTAAGTGACTTGTGGTCAATATGTGGCTTCTCAGGCTTTTTCACCTCTGCCACGACTAAAATGATCTGAAACACAAAGCTCTTGTGGGCTGAAAACAGTTAGTTCATAGCGTTGCATCATTATCATGCTTTCGAGCAGTATCTTCTGACTTCCCCTCCGATCCTCTGTGTTTGTTGCCAGGTTCAGCATTTGTTTCTGAGTGGGATTACCTACCGCAGGCTGACAGAACACAGACACAACACACCCACACACACACACACACACACACACACACACACACACAGGATATTGTCTGTAATGTTATTTTTGACTAAAACAAGTGTTGTTGCCTGTCATGGCAGGTGCAGTAGCTCTTTTTCTCCCTCCATAAAGATCAGCTTAGTCAAAAGCAGCCGCAGGGATTTAAAGCACAACACCTCACATCACGATGATGCGGTGTACACGCAGATACCATATAATCAGTGAGCATGCGGTAGTGTGACCACACGTACAGATCAGATG